AAAAAAAAAAAAAAAAAAAAAAAAAAAAAAAAAAAAAAAAAAAAAAAAAAAAAAAAAAAAAAAAAAAAAAAAAAAAAAAAAAAAAAAAGTGAGCAAAGTACATAAAATACAAGGACACTCTGAGTAGGAGGTCCCTACAGAGTTTTAAAAATCGATCAAGCTGGAAAAGTTATAAGTGCCACCTCTCCTGCAAGCATTTTAGAGGAAAGTACACTGTTCTTACAGGGGATAGAGTGGGTTTTGTTGGGGTTATTTTTTTTCTTTTTCTTCCCCCCCGCCCCAGTATCCCTGTTATTTGTGGAGTCAAGCCAAGAATATGAGCCCAAGCAACTCCCTCCTTTTTAGCTGGAGCATTTGGGTTGGGATGAGTCTCTCGTGAATAGCCAATGTGACTCCTCCAGCAACTCAATACTAATTGATTCTGCTGCTAATCTAGCCAGGGCTCGATCCTGTCTCCTTACTCCGATGGGAATGTACCGCAGCGAGGGGTCAGGATCGACCAGCCGAGATGTCGCTGAGCGCGGGGGAGGACCCCTCCTCGCTAAAAATCATCGAAAAAACAACGCCCTTAAAAAAAAAAAATTGTTTTAGAGTTGCCTACATTAGATTAACTTATGCTCTATATCGATAGGGGGGGAGGTAAAAAATAAAAGGAAAACACTATAAAACAAACAACGGTAAGACATCCAGGTCGTGGCTGGAACAGTCAAGTGAAAAAGCCCCAAAACTAAAAATCAATATTCTCTTGTGTCGAAAGAGGGCTCTTAAGAGTTGTCAGTATCAGGTTCGGGTTTGTTTTGTTCGCACGGTGAAGAAAAAAAACAAACCACCAACTTATTAAAGCACTCTTTTCAGTGCAGGAGAATTTACAACGCTAATATTTATTCAGACACACACACACACACACACACACACACACACACACAAAGTAGGGAGGGGGAGGAAATCCCAGTATTAAAGGAATGTCAGTAAAATGACCATTTATTGGTTTCTAAAAACGTCAGCTGTAATCGTGGGGTTCTCCATCACCACCTCTCCTTCAGTCAGTCCATCAGGCGAGATAAAAATCTGAGCTAAATTACCAGCAAACTTTGAGCAGTCATTCGAGAGCCGAGACTGGAAAAGTTCCCTCACGATGCTGCTCTTCATTCATGCTGCATAATAAGAATAAATACCAAGAAACATCCTATCTGTCCGCTGTGCCTGTGCAGAGCAGTGCGAAGATCCGATCAAAAAGGGATCTAAATGACACCTCTGCACCTCAGTATAAAGCAATCACATGCCCACAGTTAACTTCTGTTCTGTTGGACCTTGGAGAGAGGCGTTTAACACCGCAAGCAAACTAAACCGTGCCCGAAAGAAAGAAAACAATAGTAATAATAAAGAAACATATCTGCGAATAAACAATCTGGTCTTACCCTCCACTGTGTGATCTTCCATGAAGTGGCACAGAAACATCAGAAATAAGAGCATGCCCGAGTGGATTCTCTGATTTAACATCCTCAGTATAGCAGCGAGTGAGCGAGAAGCAGAGAGAGCGTGAGGGGGAGTAGAGAGAGGGAGCGAGCACTAGCCAGCCTGCTTATGATCGCTCTATTGAATGAACGTCAGGCTCTGAATGCAGTCTCTCTTTAAATCTATACGGGGGTCCTAGCTGTCTGCGGTGGGCGGTCTCCTAATGTGTGTGTGTGTGTCTGCTCGGGGGTGGGGAGATTTAAAAAGTTCAGTGTGAATCAGGTGACATTTTCCACCTTCTGGAAACCCTCTCCAATTATCCGCTCTAGGTGCACGAACACACAGGCGCGCACCCGCGCAGCCCCGCGCCGCGGAGTCGCCGGTGGGGAGAGCGCCAGCGCCGAGAGGAGCTGGAGACACGCGGGGGGTCGCGGCCGCCCAAGGGGGGCCCCTGGTTCCCCCTTGACGGACCGGGGGTGTTGCCGGGGCGCGGAGCTGCTCCTGCCCTCCCTGAGTGGGCTCCGCGGGTGCGGAGTGTCCGCGGAGGATCCATCCCGCTCCCCGCGCGTCCGGCGGGAGGAAGGCGGTTGGCGGACGGGCAGCTCGCTCGGCCCAAAGAAACCTTAAACTCCGACCGACCAACTCCAAACCTGAAAAAAACCCACACCGAACCAAACCCCCAAAAAACAAAACAAAAAAAACCCAATCCAACAAAAGCAAAAGACAGAACCGACTAAAAGTTTAATACCTAGGGCCGTGCCCGACTGACAGGGTTTGCACTGGGAGCGCCCGGGAGGACGAGATGGGAACGGGGGCGACGTAGGCGGTCTCCTTTCAGAATCAGAAAAGATTGCAACATCGATAATGAACTTCTAGGGCACTAGTTTATTAAGCACAGTCTGGCATTATTCTCTCCTTAGAAAAGTTGGCGGTCTCTCATTTATAACATTTTTTGGCACCGCTGAATGAAACTGAGTAGGCGATATTTCCTTTTATACAAAACGATTACTTAACGGAAAATGGTATTGTTTATTCAAAAGCTGCCTTTTAAATTTCGATTCTTTCGCTTTTCTGAGCCACCAAAGCACAACAGACTGCGAAGTATGCAGACAGGAATGCCCGGACAGTGCCGGGTCAGGGGCCGGTGCGCCACGGCCGCCCGCGTCCTCCGCTCGGCCCTCCCCACACCCCTCCTCCCCGCTCCCGCCCCCCACCCCCCCTCCCGACCGCCCCCTCCCCACAACTGCAAATAACTCAGTGATAACAGATTTTTTTCCACCAACTGCAGGAGATAGTGCTAATCTTTTAATAAAAGATCCCATTACAATGGGATCTGTCTGGACAGACTATAATAGATCCAGAAATACAGCCGTGCTAATATTAGAAGACAGTTGTTTGGGTGCCTCAGGCCGGGCCCTGGTCCCGCTTTGAAAGTGGGCATGAATCACAATGTCCCTCGGTACCACCTGCGGTCACACGCATTAAGCAGCAGACTGGTAAATGATTGACCTCGCTGCATATTTTTTTTTTTTTTGTTATTATTATTATGATCGTGGTCCTGAGCATCGCCCGGGCATTTTGAGCACTTTAGAAGCTCCAGGACTCCACATCCTTTTTAATCTCTTCCCAAATTGGTGCCACTCTCCCCTGCCCCCCGCCTCTCCGTGCCGGCTGCCGGGGCTGCGCTCATGCGGGAGCGCCGAGTGCCCTCTAACGGCGGCGCCGCGCACGCAGCACCGCCCGCCCCGGGCGCCCCGCACCCCCGCACCGCTGCCCCCGCCGGGAATGGATCCCAGGAGCAAGACCGAGCACCCGACCCGCACCGGCTACACGGCTCGGCCGAGTGGGGGGGTTCATCTTGCTGGGCTCGGGGCTCGCCGAGGAGGGGCTGCGGGGGCCTCCCCGCCTTCGCCGCCCCCTCCCGGGCGCCCCTCTCACGGTCCCGTCACTACCGGCCCCGCGGAGCTCCGGCCACGGCCGCTGAAAGCCTGGGGCAGCGTCCGGGCCCAGGGGTGTCCCGGGGGATGTCCCGGGGCCCACCCGGGGGGATCCCGTTGACAGAACGGGACGCGCAGGCGGCTGTTCCCCTGTGGGTGCCGGGAGTCGGGCTCCGGGATTAGGCTCACTTTCCCGTGCTCAGTTTGTGTATGTTTTTTAGTAATTGGCCAATACAGTGTTTATCCTGATAGTGTTTTCAATTATAGAGAGGCGTTTTCAGGCCATGTTCCTGGAAATGAAATGCTGGACGGGTCGATAAGGTTTGCACATGTGCTTCATGCGTGCATCATCAGGAGATCAATATGATTGCACTGGTATGGAGATTTATATCACACCTGTTCTCTGGCATCACATAAAACCAGCTGCTGTTTCTTTTGTTATTTTCCTTTTTTTGTTTGTTTGGTTTTTTTTAAGTGTTGAGTATTGGTTGTGAGTAAGAACATGTCAGGGATATACTGTATATCAGAAATGCTTTCTATTTTCTCACTGTGTCTCCCTTTAAGAATCCCTCCACCCCTTTCTGCTTTGTCAACAATCATATTTAAATTACCAAAAAACCAATAGGGTCTATCTGTAATGAATTGTCTGGTAACGCACAATAAGAGTGTCATTTTTGGTCTGACAGGTTTTAAAACTTCTTACTACTGAGAAGTGTATTCATTTTAATATAGGGTTTTGGATGTGAATCCAATCTTTGCAGCTGGCCTTAATCTTAGAATAATAAAGTATTTTAAAAAGACCTGCTAATACTAACATCTCAAACTTTTAGAAAATTCAGATTTGGCTCTCAATTTACACAAAATATATTTCTGTGTTCTATGTCCTACTTCTAATATAGCTATAGCTACAGCAGACTCCATAATCCAAAATATTAAGTGGCTGGCTTCTGAAGAAAATTACAACAAAATACTGAGAAAGAAGAAAAATAATCTGCAAGTGTAACCTTGTGTTAACATATGCTATTACACATATATATGCACACATATATACGTACATATGCACGCGTACATACATATACCTATGGGGAATATTTATTTTGTGATAAGTCAGTATTCACTGTACTAGTATAATTTATTTCCTTTTATTCCCTTCCCCTCACTATGCTGCCTCTCAACAGAAGAGAGATTTCTCTTATCAAGAATGGACCAGCTCAGAACACTCCCTTTAATAGGGAGCATACCAGCACATGGATAGGACTCCAGGCTGATTCCAAATCTGATTTGGCTGATTCCAAAACTGATTCTTTGGAAGGGATCTGGATTTTGAACAAAGGAAAATGTGAGGGCCTATCTTGGCAATACCTGATTTAACATTCAAGGGAGCAGAAAAAGACTCGAACACCCTCCTGTGGTCCTGGATGTATGTATGCATCATCCCATGCCGTTTCTCACAAAACTGACCTCTACCACAGAGCAAAAACTCAAATAAAGGTAGAACGTCCTCTTCTGGTAGAAGAGAAGACTTGTTAGCTTCCTTTGTTGCCATCTAATTATCACAAGAAGAATGACCTGTTCTTGGAAAACTGTGCTTTTACAAAGGTTCCCCTTATTTGCCTCTCAGATATCAGATTTAAGGACTTTTTTGAGTACCATTGCATTGTTCCACTTGGAAAACTTCCCCTCCATCCCTCTCCCTTTTTTTTATTTTATTTTATTTTTTATTTTTAAAGTGTAGGACAACACAATTCTTCAACAACTTCTCCTGTAGAAATTTCATGTGCTGTTTCTCAGCATAAAGCATAAAAAAATTGTGTTACAAAAGTTCACTTCTTAATTTGACCAAGACTTTTCCATGAAAAACAAGCAAACTAATTCCTGATAAAACTAAGCTCTAAAATATATTAACAGGCAGTGGGTATGTGTGCTATTACATGAAATTATTCCTACGCATCTGTGAGACTATTAAACATAGAACTTGTATTGTATGCTATTGGTGAGTGTTGCACTTATTAGATGAGCACACGTATGTTGAATAGTTGTTTTTTTCTTTAAGTTGACCTAAAAGGTGGTCTATTTTCACATAGTGGGCAATGGATTGAATAAAGAGGTAGTAGGGCTCTTACCTAATCATTACCACTGGTAAAACTGTTCATTCTGGTTCATACTGAAGAAGGATCAGGTATACAGGTGGCATTCATGTTTCAGGTCAGATAAAATTGAAATATGTGTGATATTAGCCAAACTGACCCCTTTCCTATCTTTTATTGGTGATTCAGGGTGTAATAACAGAATTGTGTATCTCTCTACAGTTTGGTAGATATTTTCCTCTTTCTGTAGGTCCAAATAGGACAAGCTGTTTTAGACACTCCGAAGACATTTTCTTCTCTTGTGTTGGCAGTACCACAAACCAGCACTGGGCAAGTCTTATTATTCAATACCCATTGTAAACAGGATGTGATGTGGCAAGAACAGGTTTAATGTGTGAGTGGAATGAAAACAGGTTGTTAAACAAGTTACTAAAGCTTTCCAGGTTATTGAAAACTTGGACAAAAGTACAAAATTTTAGTAGAAAATGGGATTGGAAAAAACTGTAAGGAAACTATTAAAAATATTAACTACCTCAGGACTTGAAATGAAAAATTATAAAGGACTCTACTGATCTATTGCTTTACTGATTTGTTGTTCAGGTGCTTCTCTGTATAGTTTCAGAGTATACAAAACAATTAGAAATGTGCAACAGACCATGGAATTTCTAGGGCAGAGAAAGTCTTTTCACTTTGTTGGGACAGTGTTTTCAGCCGCAATAGGAATTCTGACATAGATTCTAAATGAATTTTTGAAAATTTATAAAACAAAAAAGAAAACGTAATTATTGTGAGAAAATGTAAGTATTGTGAGAAACCTGGTCTAAACAGCACTTAGGATGCTACTATTGTAAAGAAATGCCTAAATGCCAGAAAGATAGCACCACCAGCTCCAAACAACGCATTTCCACATGAAGGCTTAAGAAGTAGCATAGTAAGAGGGAGTATGGAGAGTGCAAAGCTGTCAGATAGAGCTGCCCCTGGAAGGCCATTTCAACCTTTGGCTGTCTTAAGACATGTGCTAAATGCAGGATGGCTCTTGTTCAGCTTCCTGATGGGCAAACTGCATTTTCTACTTCTGCAACTCTGCCATGTGAAGCTATGTCATTCTTGGTGACAAAACTTCAATTTTTTAAGTTGTAATTATAGATGAGGAGCATGGTGTTTTAGGAATTGAGGGATTATGTGTGGGTTTTGTACTTTTAAGGTCTGGAACATTTTGTGTGGCAGACTTCAAGAGACATGTCAGTTGGCAGTCAGTTGCAGCTGAACCAGGACTGGAGACTAAACCAAAGATAAA